GAAACGTTAGCAGTCAGCACGTGTGATATTAAAATAAATCCATTTAATGGTTTTGTTCATAGTTTTGTAAAATAGATTATTTCAGGAAATGGGCAGGATTTATTGGAGATGAGATGGTATAGCTCTCTATATTAGAACCAATCTCTATGCAGGATTTATTGGGGATGAGACATTATATCCCTATATATTAGAACCAGTCTCTATGCAGGATTTATTGGGGATGAGATGGTATATCCCTATATATTAGAACCAGTCTCTATACAGGATTTATTGGGGATGAGATGGTATATCTCTATATATTAGAACCAGTCTCTATGCAGGATTTATTGGGGATGAGATGGTATATCTCTATATATTAGAACCAGTCTCTATGCAGGATTTATTGGGGATGAGATGGTATATCTCTATATATTAGAACCAGTCTCTATGCAGGATTTATTGGAGATGAGATGGTATATCCCTATATATTAGAACCAGTCTCTATGCAGGATTTATTGGAGATGAGATGGTATATCCCTATATATTAGAACCAGTCTCTATGCAGGATTTATTGGGGATGAGATGGTATATCCCTATATATTAGAACCAGTCTCTATGCAGGATTTATTGGGGATGAGATGGTATATCCCTATATATTAGAACCAGTCTCTATGCAGGATTTATTGGGGATGAGATGGTATATCCCTATATATTAGAACCAGTCTCTATGCAGGATTTATTGGGGATGAGATGGTATATCCCTATATATTAGAACCAGTCTCTATGCAGGATTTATTGGGGATGAGATGGTATATCCCTATATATTAGAACCAGTCTCTATGCAGGATTTATTGGGGATGAGATGGTATATCTCTATATATTAGAACCAGTCTCTATGCAGGATTTATTGGTGCTGAGATGGTATATCCCTCTATATTAGAACCAGTCTCTATGCAGGATTTATTGGGGATGAGATGGTATATCCCTCTATATTAGAACCAGTCTCTATGCAGGATTTATTGGGGATGAGATGGTATATCTCTATATATTAGAACCAGTCTCTATGCAGGATTTATTGGGGATGAGATGGTATATCCCTCCATATTAGAACCAGTCTCTATGCAGGATTTATTGGGGATGAGATGGTATATCTCTATATATTAGAACCAGTCTCCATGCAGGATTTATTGGAGATGAGATGGTATATCCCTCTATATTAGAACCAATCTCTATGTAGGATTTATTGGGGATGAGATGGTATATCCCTATATATTAGAACCAGTCTCTATGCAGGATTTATTGGGGATGAGATGGTATATCTCTATATATTAGAACCAGTCTCTATGCAGGATTTATTGGGGATGAGATGGTATATCTCTATATATTAGAACCAGTCTCTATGCAGGATTTATTGGGGATGAGATGGTATATCTCTATATATTAGAACCAGTCTCTATGCAGGATTTATTGGGGATGAGATGGTATATCTCTATATATTAGAACCAGTCTCTATGCAGGATTTATTGGAGATGAGATGGTATATCCCTATATATTAGAACCAGTCTCTATGCAGGATTTATTGGAGATGAGATGGTATATCCCTATATATTAGAACCAGTCTCTATGCAGGATTTATTGGGGATGAGATGGTATATCCCTATATATTAGAACCAGTCTCTATGCAGGATTTATTGGGGATGAGATGGTATATCCCTATATATTAGAACCAGTCTCTATGCAGGATTTATTGGGGATGAGATGGTATATCCCTATATATTAGAACCAGTCTCTATGCAGGATTTATTGGGGATGAGATGGTATATCCCTCTATATTAGAACCAGTCTCTATGCAGGATTTATTGGGGATGAGATGGTATATCCCTATATATTAGAACCAGTCTCTATGTAGGATTTATTGGGGATGAGATGGTATATCCCTATATATTAGAACCAATCTCTATGCAGGATTTTTTGGGGATGAGATGGTATATCCCTATATATTAGAACCAGTCTCTATGCAGGATTTATTGGGGGTGAGATGGTATATCCCTATATATTAGAACCAGTCTCTATGCAGGATTTATTGGGGATGAGACATTATATCCCTATATATAAACCTAGAACTGTTCATGTGTTACTGCGACCTATGAAATAATAAATGGTATTTATCAAATGGTTATTATATGGCAAATATGATGTGCAGAATTGCACAAATAGGATATAAATAGGTAAATCTCAAATAATACTGTATAGTGTAGTATATGAATACAAGCAAAGTTACAATATATATAAAATACTATGATGTGGAATATTTCACAGATCATAGCATAAAACAGAGATAGAAACTGTAATTGAATGCGATAATGTAGTTAATTATACGAATAACTGAATTTGATATGATAAATGTGAATACTGCAAAGTCTGGCTAATAACGAAAAAATGAGTTTGGAAATAATAAAGGTTGTCAAAGAATGTGAAATCTAATAAGATAAAATAGAATGAGTGACATGATATAATTAGATTGTGATATAACCGTTTGTCATAATGCATAACTCGTTTAAATGTATATAATATAAAGCGAGATAACATAATTCTAAATAGCACATGATGGGTGAGATGTAATGTATGACACTGAGAATACTATGGAGGGTAAAGCGCTCCGGAATTTGTTGGCACAATATAATAATAATAATAATAATAATAATAATAATGTGTTGTCTGAGTGCAGGACTCTGTGAGTTTAAATGGAGGAAGTATTGACTGAAACCCCTGCTTCCACCTCCCCTTCTGTTTCTATCACTTCTTTTTGTCCTTCTCAGTAAGTCACTGCTCACCCCAGTGTACTCACAGTGTGTCAACTGATCGAAGTGTATATTATCCACACACACATTCCTACTAGTGATACAATGTATGTACACTAAGATGGAAAACATAAATACATGTATAAAACGTTAAACAGTGTTGCAGATATTTCGTACAATATGTTTGGTGTCATACTGGCTCAATACAAAACGCGTAGGCTTGGGTGTGTTTGATTTTGGAAGTGGTAGGGGGTCTGATATTTGTGTGCTCCCCCCAGCATTGCAGTGGTTAGGGTTGTGAATTATTTGATGCTGCAGTAAATGTTTCAATGTGAAATGTTTGCTGCAGGTCTTATTGTGTTGTTTTAATCTTTGTGTACTGAGTACTGTTAGTGAATTTAAATGCTGTGTACTGGGGTTGGGGGTGAGATTGCTTGCTGTGTGCTGTGGTTGGTGGTGAGCTTGCATGTTGTGTGCTGTGGTAGGTGGTGAGCTTGTGTGCTGGGGTTTGTGGTGAGCTTTCATGCTGTATGCTGGAGTTTGACGTGAGCTTGCTTGCTGTGTGCTGTGGTTGGAGGTGAGCTTGCTTGCTGTGTGCTGGGGTTGGTGGTGAGCTTGCATGCTGTGTGCTGGAGTTTGAAGTGAGCTTGCATGCTATGTGCTGGAGTTTGAAGTGAGCTTGCTTGCTGTGTGCTGTGGTTGGAGGTGAGCTTGCTTGCTGTGTGCTGGGGTTGGTGGTGAGCTTGCATGCTGTGTGCTGAGGTTTGTGGTGAGCTTGCATGCTGTGTGCTGTGGTTGATGGTGAGCTTGCTTGCTGTGTGCTGGGGTTTGTGGTGAGCTTGCATGCTGTGTGCTGGAGTTTGAAGTGAGCTTGCTTGCTGTGTGCTGTGGTTGGAGGTGAGCTTGCTTGCTGTGTGCTGGGGTTGGTGGTGAGCTTGCATGCTGTGTGCTGGAGTTTGAAGTGAGCTTGCATGCTATGTGCTGGAGTTTGAAGTGAGCTTGCTTGCTGTGTGCTGTGGTTGGAGGTGAGCTTGCTTGCTGTGTGCTGGGGTTGGTGGTGAGCTTGCATGCTGTGTGCTGAGCTTTGTGGTGAGCTTGCATGCTGTGTGCTGTGGTTTGTGGTGAGCTTGCATGCTGTGTGCTGTGGTTGGTGGTGAGCTTGCATGCTGTGTGCTGTGGTTTGTGGTGAGCTTGCTTGCTGTGGTAGGTGGTGAGCTTGTGTGCTGGGGTTTGTGGTGAGCTTGCTTGCTGTGTGCTGTGGTTGATGGTGAGCTTGCATGCTGTGGTTGATGGTGAGCTTGCTTGCTGTGTGCTGTGGTTGGAGGTGAGCTTGCTTGCTGTGTGCTGGGGTTGGAGGTGAGCTTGCTTGCTGTGTGCTGGGGTTGGTGGTGAGCTTGCTTGCTGTGTGCTGTGGCTGATGGTGAGCTTGCTTGCTGTGAGTTAGTGGTGAGCGTACATGTTGTGTACTGTGTTTTGAGGTTGTGGTGATCTGGGTTTTGTGGTTGGTGGTGAAGTGGCTTGCTGGGGCTGGTGATGAGCTTGCATGCTGTGTTTTGGGGTTGGGGAGAGTTTGCATGCTGTGTGCTGTGGTTGATGGTGAGCTTTCATGCTGTGTGCTGGAGTTTGAAGTGAGCTTGCTTGCTGTGTGCTGGGGTTGGTGGTGAGCTTGCATGCTGTGTGCTGTGGTTGGAGGTGAGCTTGCATGCTGTGAGTTAGTGGTGAGCGTACATGCTGTGTATTGTGTTTTGAGGTTGTGGTGATCGGGGATTTGTGGTTGGTGGTAACGTGGCTTGCTGGGGTTGGTGATGAGCTTGCATGCTGTGTTTTGGGGTTGAGGGTGAGTTTGCATGCTGTTTTGGGATTAGTGGTGTGTTTTGGGTAGTGGTGACTGTGTGCTGGGATTGGTGGGGTTGTGAGCTTGCATGCTTTATTTTGGGGTTGGTGGTAAGACGTGCATGCTGTGTGCTAGGGGTAATGGTGAGCTGGCATGCTGTGTCTTGTGGTGAGCTTGCCTGCTGTATTTTGGGGTTGGTAGTGATGAGCTTGCTTGCTGTGTGTGCTGTGTATATGTTGGAGCGGCTCTGACTTTGTGAGCAGTTGGAGCCTCAGGCTGGAGGTGAGGCCATTCCATTCCTTACTGACTCCTGGGAGGAGTTGGCTCCTGAGAGACTGCTGTCATTGGATGAACTTGTTCCTGGAACTGATAAATACACCGGGAGCCAGAAACTCGCTGCACACTCTAAGGAGTGCCTCCTGTCTAAGGTCTCAAACAAGAGGAAGAACAAGTCTAACAAGTCTGTTCTCAAACTCAGTGCAGACAGAGAGCACCCTCACATTGAGCAGTGAAAGTCCTCACACACAGCCACCAGTGAAAGTGTTCAGACCAATGTCTGCTCTGATGGGCTCTTATTCCACCTGGTCAGAAGGTTTGGACTGCTCCACCATGGATGGGGACCTCTCAGATGGCCTGTCTCCTCACAGAGCTCCCCGGGAGAAGGGATCTGAAACCCGAATCAGGAGACCCATGAATGCCTTCATGGTTTGGGCTAAGGATGAGAGGAAGAGATTGGCTGTGCAGAACCCAGACCTTCACAATGCTGAGCTCAGCAAGATGTTAGGTAAGACATGGGACCCACTGAGTCACAATAAATACTGGAAAAACTAATCTAGAAACAAATGTGGATAACCCCTATTTTAATCCAGGAATTCGTTAATCTGCATTGTATGAATTTGCAGATCATTTAAATGCGATAAAAATAGAACTCTAGTAACTGGCTTTGCAGAATTACCTTGTAACTAGGTATAAGTACTTTTATTTTGTTATATTTATATATTCTATATACATTGGCTGTAGACAAAGCATTTACAACACATTCGGCTAGTGGAATTAGCAACAAATTCTATTGTTACCAACACATTACTGGATCATCTTGTATCATGAGATTGCTAAAACATGCAAAACCTCAACAAAATGAATCCAGATCTCCCCTTTACAAACGAATGACTTCAATAAAACTACAGCTGTGAATTTGGTAATACATAGTAATAATAGCTAGTATGATGTGAAAATGTGGATTATTTTACTATGCAGACTTCGAACTAGTTTAGTGTGCTATTTTGTGTGTGTGTGTGTGTGTGTGTGTATATATATATTTTATTTTTTTAAATCTAAATCTGCACGGACAGTGATGTAGGTACACTGTGATACACTGAATATTTATGTACACACACACGCATTATTTTATTCCCCACAGATCTCCAGTTAATTTGTACACATATAGAAAAAGTGCTTCTGCAAATATACCTATATTAACTCTAACGTTCTATCCTCTTTTTCTGGCAAATAATAAAATATATTTTTATATATATTTTAATAATACTACCAGCAATAACCCTAATTATAACATTACATAACTGGTAAAATTAACCCCAGAATTGTTCTCACAGAATAAATAGGGGGTTCATACACTCAGTAAATAGTGAGTTTGATGCTCCAGAACCAAATTACAACGTGCAGAAAAAGTGGAGTTGGGGAAATAAATCTTCAAGGAGTGGAGATTAAGATTTACTTTTTTTGCAATTATTTTATTTTAAACGAATCAATGTTTAGTGAATAATCCCCATTATGTCTGCATGTTTTGTGTGTGTGTATCCAGTAATTGGGGAAGGGGCATTTAGAGCCAGTGTGTCTAGTTATACAATATATTGTTACATTTTGTAAAGCAGTCTAGGTAAGAATTGTTCCACAAAGCGATACATTGTTATAAAGTGTATTTTTGATATTTTTTTTATTTATGATGGTTTTTTTTACCATACACGGAGTGATATTAAGAGGAATGTGCTGAAGTTAAGCAGTGAATTGCTGTCAATTTGGGTGGATTACTGTAGATCCCCCATTCAGGTCTCCTCCTGCCCCAGGATCAGTCTCTCTCACACTTGTTTGTGAGTTTGTCTGTCTCTGAGACTTTAAAGGAAACGCTTTGATTGAACGGATTACAGAGACAACTTTGTTTTTATTGAAATAAACACCCCGTCTGGGTCACAGACTGGAGTCTATCGCGCGATTTACTAACACAACGCTAATATTAAGCTGCCTCACTATGTGTCTTTGTTGATTTCTATAGCCATATACAAAGCACAATTCCATATATCAACATTTTAATGTGAAAGATTAGGGAAATGTGTGTACACCCCTTATTAACCTGGAGCTGAAATAGCAATGTTTACACTGTAACGATTATTGTCAATATAGTCCAATATTCACGAGAATTGTCACATTTCGTTTTGCTAATCAGATTTTAATTACTTATGTTTCTTCTAATATTTTAACATCTCACTTTCAACTGAATAGATATTAAAAATGTGGAATTAGAGTGATTTGTGGTAACCGGTAAAAGCTACTTGTTAGTTTGAGTAAATGGCTATCGATTTAGGTTCAATAGGAAACAATTCCACAAAGAATCCTACATGTCTGTATCTCTGTCTTAATAATAATTATCCTTATTATTATTATTATTATTATTGTCAACATATTCAGCAGCGTTTTCATTTATAGAATAGGGTATCTGACAAAAAGCAAATGACATGCAGAATATACCAGAGAGGGGAAAAGCCCTGCTCGAACGAGTTTACAATCTTACTGTATTTCGATGAATTTCTGTTTGGCAATGTGTCTGTATATATATATATATATGTGTGTGATTGTATAGGCCTGTATGTGGTTTATGTTTCTAGTCTATTGATTTCCATGGCATGTCTTTGTGTTTAATTATTCCATGTAGAATAGGAAGTCCTATGGTAGGAGTGATAAGAGTGCTCAGTGTTTTCTTAGTGTTATTCTAAGTGGCTCATTAAGCAGTATCTGTTGTGTGGATGTGTGCATCCTGTGAGCTGTCCTGGTCTCTAATGGCTGTGTTTTGTGTCCTGTTGTTTGATGTGCAGGGAAGTCCTGGAAAGCCCTGACTCCCACCCAGAAGAGGCCCTATGTAGAAGAAGCGGAGAGGCTGAGGGTCCAACACATGCAAGACTACCCCAACTATAAGTACAGACCCCGCAGAAAGAAGCAGATCAAACGCATCTGTAAGAGGATGGACACCGGCTTCCTGCTCAGCACCCTGTCCAGGGACCAGGACTCTCGCCCAGAGAGCAGGGGTGGTAGGGCAGGAGGGGATATAGAAGACAGTCCTGGCTATCACCCAGGGGTGGCCCTCACTGACATCAGGGGCTACAGAGAGTCTCCGGGTAATAGCACCAAACATGATCAAACATATCCTTATGGGCTGCCCACCCCACCTGAGATGTCTCCTCTGGAGGTTATTGACCAAGAGCAGAGTTTCTACCCATCATCTTGTTCTGAAGATCACCATTCTCACCTCATTGGGAACACTTCATACCCCAATGAATATACAAGAAATCCCATTCTCTGCGGCCACCTCAACCAAATATCCCTTCCCCCAAATGGGCCTTCAATGATCCCAACTGTAGCCAGTTGTCCCCCACCATATTTTAATTCTACTTATCACTCTATGCACCACAACTACCATGCCCACCTTGGCCAACTCTCCCCTCCACCTGAACACCCCCAGTACGACGCTATAGATCAAATCAGCCAAGCAGATCTTCTGGGAGATATGGACAGAAATGAGTTTGATCAGTATTTAAATACCTCTCGACACGAATCTGGTGAAATGACATTACATGGGCACATCCCGGTTTCACATGCCCCAGACCTACACCCTCCTGAGAACAGCCTTATCTCTGTCCTGGCAGATGCAACAGCAACATACTACAACAGCTACAGTGTTTCCTAGGCATCTCCTGGAAGTGTGAATACAAACAGTGTTACTGGCATCTTCTCTACTAAGCTATGGACATTCACTGTAAGGTCTCAGGGTTGTCTGAGAATTGTCTCACACATTTTCTGAGTTTGTGATGATCTTCAAACACCTTTAGTATGGCTCTCAGCCACTCTGTAGGTATTTCATAGGGCTCATTTAATGTGATCCCTGTATGTAAAGGAGATTGTGTTCGAAGATCTGGACAGGATGAGATAATTTAATCATGGACTTTTAAAACAAATAAGACATTTTTAAATCTATTTTTTTTTTTTTTTTTTTAGCACAAATGTCCACCTTTTGTTTCTTTTAAACACTGGTCACAATGTGAGAAAATGAAAGACAAATATATAAGTTGTGGGCACTTAAATGTTTCATTTGTAAGTACACTTTCTGCTGCAGATTATTTGAAGAAGGAAGTTGTAGTACATTAATCCGTTTATTGAAACTAATATTTAAATAAGACAACGAATGTTTGGTGAAAATTTTGTTCAGATTAAAAAAATATATATATGTATAAAAAAAAAAACCACTTTGTTTCTTATTGCATAACACAAACTATTTGTGATATGTTGTAACTTTGACGCTCCAATTCTTGTTATATTGTTCATTAAAATAATGGACTTGCATTCTTCAATGACATGTTTACTGTCTGCCATTTGGGAATCGGTAGTGAGAATGGTTTGCAAAGCTGAAACTGCACTGTTAATATTAGACTTTAAATCCACGTTAAAAACTCCCAGTATATCTAGCTGTACCTGACCTGTATTTTGAATGGATGTACATATGGTTCGCCATGAATATTTAATTTAAGTATGTTTTTTTTATACAATAAACCACATTGTGAACTTTAATAAAACAATCTTTCTCTTTTATTCTTCCTATCCTTAATAAACACACACGTATAAATTCAAATGGTTACATTAATATACTGATACAACCAACCAGGGCTATTCATTTTAAAAGTCACAAGTCGCTCTGAAAACAGCGGATTCGTGTTTTTTGTTTTTGTTTTTAACATAAAATCTAAACAAATCCAGGTTTATAAATTGAGCCCTAAAAATGCCTGTATGCGTCTCCATCGATATCACAAACCCCTGACCCCTGGGTAACTGTAACTGTATAATTGCTTAACAATTGGTTTTGAAATTGCACTTAAGGTCTATTTTAATGTATTTCAATATGCTCTGGATTTTTTTTTATTTCCTCCAGTTTTATATAATTACTCAGCACAACACGATAATGTAAAACATTTTGAAAACCGCTATTATGGGTTTATTTGTTTTAGAATTTCTGCCATCACTCGTAATACTGTAAATACTAATATTGTGTCCTATATAAAACACAGCCCAGCTCTCTATTCTTATAGAAACATTTCATATTATGTCATTTTATTTTCATGAATAGTAAGTCTGATCCAAACATTGCATTAAATACAGTAACATTGTAGCAGGTGCTGTGATTGAATTCTTACTATATTTTAGTGATCTCGCCAGCTACAATAAAGGGGCTCGCTGAGCAGAATGAGACCTGTGTGATGGCTGATCCCTTAGTCAATCACCGAATAATGGTTAGGAGATTTCCATCGCTAAGAATTTGCCCAGATCGGATTCTATTTCTTTGTTGTATAAAGTTTATGATATGAGCCATTAAAGAGCTAGTTTACCTCTGGAAGTATTTGCCAGCAAATTACTATTCCATTTCCCTAGAATAAAGTATTCACTAAAATAGTTATTTCCAAGGGAATATAAAGGGATATATTCACTAAGTACTGCGTTATAGAGAAGGACAAATAAAACCTAAATTGCTAAATTCAGGATCCATCTGTTATTCAATAGAGACCATGTTACGAAATGAAATCCTCAATATTGCATTGTATAGTTATTGCTATTTCAGAAAAAAACTTTCAAAAACCAATCAAACAAAAACCGGTTTAGTTTTCATTTCATGCCAAGTGAATTCCGTTTTTTTGACCCGGAGATGTTCTTTTTCTGTTCTGTTATCTTGGCATTAAACCTGATATTACGTTTCTGACAATTGACACATTGGTGAATAACACTGCAAGTGATTGCATTTGACACTGTAAGAAACTCTTGTATTTAATGTAAATAACCCCTTCATTTTACATGAATACACAAGGTGAAATATTTTAATAGAATTTTCAGTTTATTTTTTGTCCATTATTTAACTGGTATTTTGTACTGGGTAAATAGCATCTTGCAGTTTTCATTCTGATTGGGAAATAGATATTTGCTGTCCTACATAAAGCAGATATTTAGTGTGACAATTGCCAGTCATTTGAATGATGTGCTGGATTAATTACAGGTGATATTTTTTTATTACCCATATTTAATTCTAATAAATTAATAGTGCTGGGTAAGTATAGGGTATTCTAAATCCATAGCAGTGACCAGATGCATCTCACATTCTAGCATTGAATGTAATGCTTTCCTATGAGAAACATGTGGTTGGATGAGCATGCTGTATATCTATATATATATATTTTTACCTGTTTGTTTTTTTAAATATCTGATCATCAAAGTTGGTAGGTTACAAAAATACCTGGGTCTTGAATATAAAAAGAAACCTGAATGATCCAAGTCCTAAAGCCCCTCTCCTGGCTCATCCCCACCCCCAGACTGTATATCCCACCCTCATTTGGTTCATATTTAAGGCCTTGGCTTAATGTTTTTGGATGATCTTTCCAAATTATTACAATTTGTTAATGCTCTGCGAATCCGTATAGCGCAAAATTGGATGTTCCTACACTTGGCTCTCTAGTATGGAAAATAAAATTCATCTACAATATGGAGGTGTTATCAACAGAAATATTAGAAAACAGAACTCATGAAATAATTTGGTGTCCATGGAGAACATAACTGGTCTCTCTACCTCCAGGCTATCCCTACACTCCTTAGAAAAAGCATGGTTGGGTCAAATGAAAGATTTATTTTACTAATTTTTTTTCTCCCTCTATCTTTTGTATCAACTATGTTAACTATACCCCTGTGTTTAACCCCTTAAGGACAAACACTCCTATTTGTGTAGAGTAATGTCTCACGTATACAACCGTAGCCCCAATGTACAGGTTTTATGCTGTTTTGGAAAGATACAGGGCCAAATATAAGGATAAAAAACAGAAAGGGACAGCGCTAAATAAAAGAAGATAAAATAAGGCAGCAACCCTAAGAAGGGGATCCCCCTGAACCCTTCAAAGTAACAGAAAAGAAAACAAATGGGGAAGGGCTGTGCCACAGAAAAGAGGCACCTCTTTTCTGTGGCGCAGCCCTTCCCCATTTGTTTTCTTTAGGACCAAATATAAGACTTGCCAATTTCTGTTTTTGCTAATTGAAATTCACAGATTGGTTATGTTGCATTTGACACCACCATAAATGAAAATGAACCCCACCATGTCATACCATTTGAAAAAGTAGACAACCCAGGGTATTCAAAATGGGGTATGTCCAGGCTATTTTAGTAGTCATTCAGTCACAAACGCTGGCCATAGTTAGCGTTCAGATTTTTTTTTTTGCATTTTCTACACAAAAACTGCGTTTTACTGGTGATGTCATAGTCGTGATACATTTTCCTGTTTTGAAACACTCATATTGGTGTTTAGTGAAGTCTACCGAGTATAACAGTAAACCCCTCCATGTACAGGTTTTATGGTGTATTGGAAAGTCGTCAGGCAGGTCCCTCAAATTGTAATTAATGAAATCAGTTAATTATGTAAAAAAATAATTATATATGTGAATTTTTTTTTAAATAAAATATATATATTGCCCTAATATATTTATATATATTTATATTTTAGGACATTTGGGGGACTGCCTGACAGCCCAGGCAGTTCCCCTGCTGGCAGATCTTAAAGGACCACTCTAGGCACCTAGACCACTTCAGCTTAATGAAGTGGTCTGGGTGCCTGGTCCTTCTAGGGTTAACCCATTTTTTCATAAACATAGCAGTTTCAGAGAAACTGCTATGTTTATGAATGGGTTAAGCCTTCCCCCAAATCCTCTAGTGGCTGTCTCATTGACAGTTGCTAGAGGCGCTTGCGTGATTCTCACTGTGAAAATCACAGTGAGAGCACGCAAGCGTCCATAGGAAAGCATTGATAATGCGTGCGCATTCAGCCGACGGGAGGAACGGAGGAGGATCGGAGGCAGAGAGCTCCCCGCCCAGCGCTGGAAAAAGGTAAGTTTTACCCCTTTTCCCTTTTCCAGAGCCGGGCGGGAGGGGGACCCTGAGGACCCCACTAAAAGCGGGATGGCATGGAATGTGCTAACGTCATTAAGGGGTTAATGTCTTCTTTGCTCTCCTAGTTTTCTAATCTTCCTATTGTGTATTAAAGGGATACTCCAGGCACCCAGACCACTTTTGCCATCTCCCACTACTCTTAACCCTGCAAGGTAATTATTGCAGTTTTTTTTATAAACTGCAATAATTACCTTGCAGGGTTAACCCCACCTCTAGTGGCTGTCTACTAGACAGCCACTAGAGGGCACTTCCTGCTCTATAGCACAGAAAACCTGTGCTAGAGCGTCGCTGGACATCCTCACGCTGTGTGAGGACCTCCAGCGTCGCTCATTTCCCCATAGGAATGCATTGAAAAGCATTTTGAATGCTTTCCTATGGGGAGCTCTAATGCGCATGCGTGGCACTGCCGCGCATGCGCATTAGGTCTCCCCTGCCTGTGGGCGGGATCAGTCTCGCCCACGGGACAACGTAATCACTAGGAGAAGCGGCGGCGGAGGAAGAAGCAGCAACGTGGGACATGTCGCTGCCTCTGGTAAGTAACTGAAGGGGTTTCACCCCTTCAGCTACCGGGGGATGGGAGGTGGGAGGCAGAGGGGACCTGCAGTGCCAGGAAAACGAATAGTTTTCCTGGCACTGGAGTTTCCCTTTAACCCTGCAAGTGTAATTATTGCAGTTTTCATAAACTGCAATATTTACCTTGCAGGGTTAAAGGATCACTCTAGGCACCCAGACCACTTCAGCTTAATGAAGTGGTCTGGGTGCCTGGTCCTTCTAGGGTTAACCCATTTTTTCATAAACATAGCAGTTTCAGAGAAACTGCTATGTTTATGAATGGGTTAAGCCTTCCCCTATTTCCTCTAGTGGCTGTCTCATTGACAGCCGCTAGAGGCGCTTGCTTGAGAGCACGCCAGCATCCATAGGAAAGCATTATGAATGCTTTCCTATGTGACCGGCTGAATGGGCGCGCAACTCTTGCCGCGCGTGCGCATTCAGCCGACGGGGAGGAGAAGAGCTCTCTGCCCAGCGCCGGAAAAAGGTAAGTTTTAACCCCTTTCCCCCTTCCAGAGCCGGGCGGGAGGGGGTACCTGAGGGTGGGGGCACCCTCAGGGCACTATAGTGCCAGGAAAACGAGTATGTTTTCCTGGCACTATAGTGGTCCTTTAAGTCCTCCTCTAGTGGCTGTGTATCAGACAGGCACTAGAGGGACTTCCGTGTTCTTAGAACACAAAAAGTGTTTTAAGCAACGCTGGACGTCCTCACACTATGTGAGGACCTCCAGCATCGCCGAAATCCCGATAGGAAAGCATTGAATAATGCTTTCACATGGGGAGGTCTAATGCGCGTGCGCGGCCATTGCCGCGCATGCGTATTGGGTCTCCCCCGCCAGCTGTCGGCAGGGGGAGGAGAGTAGGCGGAGCCTGACCAGCGCCGAGGGACATCGGCGCTGGACTCCGGTAAGTCACTGAAGGGGTTTTAACTAATATGTTTTCCTGGCACTGGAAAATCCCTTTAACCATTTTGAGTATTTTTTTTTTTTTTTATATATAAAATAATTGAATTGGTGTGTAAAAAAAAAAAAAAAGAGAGAGAGAGAAAATGCCTAGT